GACCCGAGCCGAAGGCAGACGCTCAACGACTGAGCCACCCAGGCGCCCCGGAACCACTGCATATTTAATAACAGAACAGCATAGCATAAATGGTCAGAGCAGTAGCCTTGGTGCTAAGAGGCCTGAGATCTAGACCCAAGATGGCCACCACCTTTTGTGGACCAAGACTAGTCACAGCTTCCCTGAGCCTGAGTCTCCTCCTCTTTCCTAAGAGAGATTTGCAAGAGAAATTCTGAAGATCCTTCCAATTCCAACGTGGATGCTATAGAGAAAGAGCTCAGGGAGCAGAGAAGAGAGCACCGGACTGGAGCCGAAGAAACGGCTTTCTAGGTGAGAGAGGGCCCTGCACACCCCCTGAGGTGCCCGAGCTGGTTCGTCTCTAACACTGAGCTCACAAATAGAAGGTTGCCTCCAAACGCTCCTGGCTCCCTTTCAGTAAGTCCTTAAAAAGCAAACATATGCCACAGTATCGGGGAACACCCCCCCCCCTCCCCAGGACCAGCTCTCCATCACACTTGCAGGGTTCCCTGTTGGGGAAGGGACACAGACAGGAACTGCCACGTGTTGAAATCGACTATGCGCCAGTCACTCTGTGTGGGTCATCTTTCACATGGTATCCCACTTACTCCTCCTGCGGTTCCAGGAAGTCAATCAGATCATCCCAGCAATGCAGATGACATGAGAGGTTGAAACACCTGCCCAGTCACACAGCAGGAAAAGTGCCAAGGCCAGGAATGAAGTACAGATGTGGCTGACGCCACCACAGCTCACGGATCCTGTCTTTATCCAGTCATCCCTGATGCACGAACTCCCTGCTGTCCGCTAAACCAAACCTAAAACATGCCCTGAAACAATGCAGAGCACTTAGCAGCAGTCTGCTGTGTACCTACGTCCAGCTTCAGGGTCTCTGCCTGCTGCTTGCCCTCGCCATGTGAGCCCCATGCCTCCCATTAGGCTGCCTGCTGGCCTCCTGGCTACCAACCACAGAGGCCCCTTGTTCACTGCCAAGCTCAAAACTCACCACTTTTATAGGAGGTCTCCTCTGAATTTGTATGTATCAAATATGTATACTGTGTCTTATTTCACAAAGGATTTGACAAAGCTCATAAAGACAGATGCAACAGTAAAACCATAAAACATAACTACATTAGGGCTGCTTTCTCTGTACAACTCCATTCATCTTAGAACATTCTTTCCCTGGCCTGCAGCGCATGTGTATTAATATGCTTCAGAGAAGGCCACCATGGAATCAGTAACTTCTTGAGACTCCTCTGCCTCTTTGGGTCCCCAAATAAGCATCCAACACCAGTCATTGCATATTGATACATTCAATAACTGCTTGTTCTTCCTGCAGAAAAGAGCTCACTGCTGGCCCTTCAGTAGCCAGGCATGTGATTGGGATATTCCTGTCTCCTTCACTCCCTCCCCCGCCTTGAGAAAAGAGATGACCGTGAGCCATTCATTCTCTCCCTGCCCTCTGGAATGCACATTCTAGGGGTTGACCAGGTGTGGTTTTAGCCAAGGAATGAAACCAAACAAACTGGTCAGGGCGATACCCTGGGCCACATGTACAAGTTGCTGAGGAGCCAATCACAGACAGCATCTTGCTGCCCCAAGCGCCCGCCTGCCCATCCAGGCCAGGATCAGTGTGACATGGAAAGCAGAGCCCTCTCCAGCACTCAGACTGACCACCTCTTCTTGTGACTTGCCACTGGAGGGCCTTAGATAACTCAAGAGAAGACCAGAAGTTAGGCAAACAGACACCTGCCTCCGAAGTATCCCATTGGTCCATAGCAAACTTACCTTACTTTATCAATTATAGTCTGTCCGTAATCAGAATTGCCAAATGCGTTCTTAAACTGTGGAGGAGGAGAACAGATTTAATAACTACCACAAAGAGGGGGAAAACGTGATACTGTATCTGAGTTTTCACACAAACACATTTCTAACCTAATTTGTATAAATACACGTGGCTCATCACAGCAATTTGTCCCCATTTGATTTTTGTTCTAAAATAATACGATTCTGCTATGTCAGAGTTATCCAGGAAAAATACCTAAGGCACCCAGCCAAATTAACGATCATACTTTTAAAAATAAGGTGACTAACTTACTCAGTTCGTGTTTTCAAAGTCCCCGTGAAGTTTTGCATATTTGGTTTGCACGTTTGTTAGACTTCTCTATAAGCATGCTTCGTGCACTCATCAATTCTCCCAGGGAACACTTACTTACTTGCCCACCTTGCCAAGCATCATGCCAGAAACAAACGGCGGAGACAGGCTGGTCCTGCCCTGTGATGAGTCAGGGGACTACACCGCGAAGTGGGGAGAGGTGAGCGCCATAAGGCAACACAATCTACCACAGAAATTCAAAGACACTCTCTCCCAGTTGCCGAGAACTAGGGAGGGCTTCATAAAGGAGACCACCCTTAAAGCATTTTTGGAATCGGTGCCAGGATGAGGAGAGGAGGAAGGAGCCTATACACAAATGTTCAGAAGCAGCGTGCCTCAGAAGGGAGAAGCCTGAACTGGGAAGAATACCTGAAGTCAAATTTCTCCGTGTCAGCTTTTGCATAGTGGCTTTGAACTTCGTCTTTCTCCTCGGAAACCTGGAGAAAGCAATAAATTCCTACCGCATAGGGCTATAATGTTGTCAAACGAGATGGGATATATGACACAT